TAATATTAAGGTGTATAAAAAACCCTATCCAAAATATATATGTTGGTACTTGTGTAATTTTGTTCATTTTTTATTTTTGAAAAATGATAAGTCTAATTAGATAAGATTTTAAATTCGAATATTATAAATGAAAAAATATATATTAAAAAAGTTTTTTTTTATTGAGTCTGAGGTGATTCGATTTTGAATTAATTTAATCTGATTATCAAATATAAAAAATTAATAAAAAAATTAAATCATTATAATGGAAGAAATTAGGGTCCCAACTATAACAATTGAAAAGTTAAAGAACCAAAGTGGCCCACAATGAGAAGGTATATGAAGTTATGAACACCCACTTGTAAATGACCCATTTGGGCATATCGAGTTAAGGAGCCGGCTGGAACATTGCATTCATGACAATAGCAAGATTGTCAAGTCGCACCATTAATGAGGCGCAGCCACATCGTCGATGGAATAGGGAGCAGAGGAACTGATGATAGGACGGTGGAACCGTGGGAACTCATGCGCGGACGACGTTAAAAGATGAAGAAATTGCTGTTGCCGACTCTTAAGCAGTACGGCCGCCACGACGTTTAAGTGGCTGCCTCGGGAAACAAATTAAACAGCACCAACTCCACCTCCGCCTCCGCCCTATACTCTGCATCCTCCTCCTAATTTGGCCTGGAATTCGATGCATTACAAATTGCTATTATCTCTCTCTTTATCCTTATTGGAAGAGAATACCTTTTTCTACTCCTCTAGTGCTGTTGGTGGCTGTTTGTTTATTTGGCGGTATTGTATTTTGCTGGAAAAAAATATAAGCCAAAAATAAATTTGGGCGGACAAAATCTGAGTGAAAAATGAAAACTGTTACTTTACCGAATTTGTCAAGGACACTTGTATGGTTTGTAGTTGTCCGGTGAAAAAAAAAAATCTTTATGTTACTTAATACTTATATTAAAACGAAAAAAAACTGAATACTTTTCTTCAAGTATATGTATAAATATATATACGTAAGAATTTATTTATATTTAAATTTTATATATTATATTTATATATAATTTTGATTTTTGATTTTTTTATTTTTAATGGTTATGATTTGTTTAATTTTATCATATTTAATAAAAATAATTATTTTTTATATAAAAAATAGTGATAAATTTCAATTATTATTAAAAGTTGAAAGATAAATCATTAAAATTTTGTATAAGAGTGTTGGTAAATTTTATATATCAATGGATTCCTACTTATATATATATAATTTTGTTTCACAGTTTGGTTTATATTGGACTGTAAAACAAGAAAGATTAAATGAAAAAAGGCACCTAATTAATATCAGGGATCCAACTCTTATTCAATGGTTAGTGTTGTGCAATTTAATATAATTTAAATTGTACAATACTTTTCTATAAGTTTTTCTAACCTGTATCATTCACATGTTAAAAGTATAATTAATATGTCTTTTTTACATTAATTGATATTAAAAATAACGAAAACTTATATTAATTTCATTATTTTTGCAAACATAAATCATTTTAATTAGATAGTTGATGAAATAAAATCAACTTTTATTTTTCAATAAAAATTAATACTAAAAAGATGTACGGTTTAAAAAACTTTTTTTCCATAAAGCCCCCTTTTTATATTAAAAAAAGATTTTCTAAATTGTACCCTAAAGTATATTAAATA